AGAAAACTTTGGAAATTTAGCCAGCCTTCTTTCTCCTTGCCTGTCGTTGTGGAAACATATATGGATAGCTGTTGTAAAGCAATGGCTAAACAGGGTAAAGCGTTTCACTTATTAGATCACTCAACTCCGATTATGTCTTTGTATTGATAATTAATTGGTGAAAATAGCATTTCCCCTGGAATTTTGTTTTATAATCTAACTGGAGGAGTCAATTATTTATTGGGAAATCCTGCTTTGAAAAGTTTAGGCTTTTACATAGGTGAATGGTGAAAACATAGAAAGGCAAAACTATATTTGTGTTAGCAACTAGTAATTTCAAAGGTGGCCAAGTCACTAAAGTTAAAGGAAGGAGCTTTTACAGGTTTATGAGAAAAGTAGGAGTAAAATGAAATACTGTTTATTTTTCACAGCCTGTTTTAGAGGCAGCTGCTGGAAATGTGTTGTCATTTGGATCTAGTAATACAGGTGGTTAAATAGAAATGCAATGAAATGCTAACATCTCAGAGAATCATGTTGTATCATGCTGAAGCCGTGATGGCAGCACTATTTCTTGCCTTGCTGCCAGTACATGGTTTTTTTTGTCTGATATATGCACAGAAAAACTTATTCCCCTGAAATCTGAGAACCCTGTCTAGCATACATTCTGGGATGTGCTTGTAGTGACACAGAATATGAAACTACTACTTAGTGTTTTGGTTTTGTTTTCCTTTCTGTATCTTCACAAAAGTTATCTTCATAGAACTACAAAAATAATGTATTATTTCAAGGATGTAAGTCTACTGTAAATAAAGAAAACAACTTGGATTTGGTTTACAAGCCTGTTAGAAGTAGCAGTTTGAGTTATGCCACTTGTAAGATGCCACAGAATTTAAGCAGAATATCACTGAGTATGGAAGATAAAAGCCAGCTTTGGATTTTCTATCCTGTATGGAGGCCAGCAATACCAGTGTAGAACACAATTCTGCTTAAATGTTCTATTCTTGTGACAGTTATCATTCTGAAGTGTAGCCTCAGGTTGCTTTGACATTGATTTATTTATTTTAATTATTTTAAAAAATATATTAATTTTGGTCTGTGGTTTGTATCTTCTATGGTGGGACACCTGCTAATTGCAGTAGTAGCCTTGCCAAATGTGTATGGAATTCTGTAGAATGCCTGGACTATATAATTATAGAAACAGTTCTGTTAAATTGGCTGGGGAGATGATTTCCTTTGAGAATATTTTTTCTGCTTTGGCTTTCGAGATAATATGAATTACTGGAGTTGAGAGTATATGTCCATAGGTAAAGCTGTAGCATGCAGAGCACAGGAAAAATAAGAAATCAATGGAGAGAAAGCAGGAGAAGAGATAGATAAGAGTATATAACAGCAGCAAAGGACAGGTGAGTGATTTTTCTGTTTCAATTTTTATCCCTTTGTTTCTTTATTTTGGCTTTCATTCTTTTCTTGTTTATTAATTATGACAAGACTTGTAGTATTGGAAGCAAGCCTTAAAAAAAATGCAAACTCTAGATTTTTAGTTTATGGTGTGTAAGATTAGTCTAGAGTTGTAGGAACTGTCCTGAGTTAATAATACTGAACTTGCATAGATTATTTCCTGTGTTTCTTTCTTTTTTTGTTTTCTGCTAAAATATGTAACAGGAAAAAAAATATTGAATTTCATTCAGGTAATGAATAATGTAGTGGATTTTTAAAACTTTCCTGGAGGCCAGTTAATTGTGGCTGATTCTTAATGACCAACATAGGAGGAAAAAATACAGGAGGAAATTTAATCTGATATTTTCTCACAGTGGACTTAAGCTGTAGAGTTGGGGTGAGACTTAAATACACAGTGGCTAGTGCTTTTAAAGAACAGGGTTGACAGCAAAGTCAAGTGAAATGAATACCTACAGTATTTACTGTAGGTAGAGCTGCTAGTGTCACCTGTACTTAAGGTTGTGTGACCCTTTCCCTTTTAAGGCTTAACTCTTAGTTACTTTATAACTTGCCAAAGTTCAGTTCAGACAGATTTTTCCATGCCAGATGTCTGCTTTGGGTTGAATTTTTTTGAATGTTTTCAGCCAAAGCAGTTTTGTTCCAAGAATAAGGCTAGTGAAAAGTATGCTGTTTTGCTTGTGTGAGAATATTCTGGTGTCCTCCTTTGATGCTCCAGTGCCCCCAAGCTCTGAAGCAAGGATTTGAAATTTGGCAATAATTCAGCCTTTGTGTTGAGGATGTGCCTTTTGCCTCCCTGTAAAAATCCACCCAAATTTCCAGACCGGTTTACAAGGCTTTGAAAGATTGCCATTTGCATGGGCATAATAGGAATTTCTTAAATCTTCACAGTAAGTTTCCTTTAGATTCTGTTCACACTGGGACTGCTTCAGGCAGAGTAGAGCTGCATATTTCATCTCATTTCTGCTAGGAATTGTAACAGCTGGATCTGGGTGCTGACATTGAACTAAGAGTAGGCAACATTTTGTCTTGTACTGCCACTGCCTATTCCCACGTCCTTTCCTTCTCCCTGGTGAAGGACCTGGGCCCTCTGGAAAAAGAAATTGTCTCACTCATCTGAAACAGCATGACAGATGTGGAGGAGAAGAATTAAGGAGTGTGTGTGTGTCTGGTTTGTACTATTCCTTTGGTCACAGAAAATGTGTGTCTCATACTAGCAAAATATTATTTCCTTTTCTAGTGGATGTTCAGGTAACAATAATTAGGTTTTGCTGGTATTTAACTTGAGTTTAAGTATCTAGATCTAAGTGTATGTCAAGGTTTTAATAATCTCATTCAACTATTTAGGCATCAATTAAAAAAAGACTCAAATGTCACAGTACAGTAATGTTATGTAGAAGTCAAAGATCAAGAACCCATTTTTTTCAGACATTTTAAGTCTAACGCAGACTTTTTGCATTTAACACATTGTAGTACAGCCTCCAGCTCCATAACAAATGTTGACTGCTTTTTTGATGAGGCAACTATTTAATTGGAATGGGGAAAGGGGTCTATTCTGAGGATGAGTCGAGGATTTGTACATTATAGGATGTGTGTTTATCTGTTACAGCAGTTGAGACATGTGGAGTAAGTGAAGCAGAGATCTCAGGAATAATAAAAAAAGGGCTTTGTGGCGAAGACAGTTGAATGCTGCTTGATGAATTATCCTCAATCTGTGCTTAGTCATGGTATTTTTACATGATGCACTTAACTGTTCCTAGATGGCTGCTCATACTGTGTTCTAGTGCCTGCTTTGAGAACTCTTACCAATTCACAGAAATGCAGACACTTAAAACTGCAAGTGAACTGAGTGGGAGCTAAACCTCATAATACTCTTTTTACTACAGACAGTAAAAGTCAGGTTAAATGTATGTTACATTTGACATCTGGAACTAGGGAATATTTTAGTCTGATGAATCTAATGCCTCAGTTGTCTGTTTTACCAATGTAGAAATTACTTGTCCGATCTTTGTATAGAGGCTGATGAAGAAAATGGTTGCCTTAGAAGCAGGACTGAAAAATAACGTTAGAAATAAAGCATTTGATCACCCCTCATTGATCAGGGATAAAACAAAGCATTGATAAATATGTAATCAAAAGTTTACTTATGCAATAAAATAAAAGCTTATTATTGCATTCGTAAAATTACCTTTGCCACTCTAAACTTCTCAGTGCTTAGCTTTATGACTCTAATAAAGATCTTTAAATAAAAGATGTTATTTTTCTCTGTGAATTTTATAAGCATCCAACTTCCTTTTGTACAAATAGTTCCATTTTACCAATCCCTTGGTAGCTGTCTTTGTTCTGGAGGTGGAATCATTATTTCATTCTTTGCAGTTTGTTTCCCAATAAACCATGCAAACTTGAACTGTATTGTCTGAAACCATATAGAAACATATAGAAAATGGTATTTTCTATATTGACTGATTCACGTCATACTGATCCAAGCAGAAGAAACCCAATATCAAAACTCTTGAACTAAATTTTTTCACTTTGAATCAATCAAAATTTGTAAACTCTCAGAATAATATCAAAATGCAAGTTTAATTGGTGCTAACCTTTTAATTCTCTTATCATAGCCACCTTACCTTAGTACTTGTTGAATAAAATATTACTGGGATCCTTAGAATTCCTGTTCACTGTGGAGGTGGAAGGCATACTTGCTCAAACAGTTGACTACTTGTTAAAACTGTTGACTGCTACTACCTCACCATGATAAATTTCCCCTTTGTAAAGCTGCTTCAGCAGTGTGTAATTTTTCATTACTTTGTAAAGCCAGCTGTTACCTGAAGTTTCCTATGCAAAAAAAAGGTGGTGTAGATTTTTTTGAGAGGTGCAGGGTTACAACAAATAAGTGAGTGTATGCTTATGGAAGCGTCTAGCTCCTGAAATGAAAAGATTTGCTACTAAGGTTTAGTGAACTTAATGCCTTGGAAATTATTTGTTGGAAAGCCTGCAGCAGTGGAGAGTTTTGGGTTGTGGGGTGTTTCGTAGTTTTGGTGGTTTTTCTTTCATTTTTTAAGGTGGAGGTGTGAGAGAGTTTTTTCTCTAAACTTAGTCATCAGACTTTTTACTTGTTTCTTGGATTGTTCCTTCAGGATCTTTGCTGCCTCTGAACAGCAGATCTTATATTAGTCTTTTGAAAGCTTCAGCAAAGGCAAAGCTTTGGACAGGATGTCTGTCATTTTCAGGAGAAAGATGGGAGTTTTTAACTGCTCAAAGCATAGATCTTCCTTAGAGGAACTGTATTTTTTAATATTCATTGTTATTTTAAGGGTAAGGCACAAAATGAAAGGTAGAGTCTGAAAGGCAAATGCAGACACAACTGTAGTAAACCAAATCAATTTGCTTCCAATTACATCAGCAGTAAAATAGCTGAATATTCAACAGTACTATTTCAAATTCATTTGAAAAACTAAAATCTGATTTGCAAGACTCTGCTCTATTAAGCAGGTTTAATGTGATCATTTGTATGAAGTGTTTTGACTGTTTCTGAATGTTTTACTTTTTTGTCTTGTTTTTGGCAGCAACTTGAATTAGTGGAACCAAGCGGCTGGATTCATGTTCCTTTAACAGATACTCATAAGAAGCCCATTCGCACATTTATGATTCAGATTGCAGTTCTAGCTAACCACCAAAATGGAAGAGACACTCACATGAGACAAATCAAAGTGTACACCCCGGTGGAAGAGAGCTCTATTGGTAAATTTCCTAGATGTACAACAATTGATTTCATGATGTATCGCTCTATAAGATAAAATTTCTCAATGACAAATAATAAAGGTATTTTTTGATGGCAGCATCATCGCTTAAGTATTCAAATACTTAAAGAGCAGGATTTACTTCAGTGTAATTATGTATTTGTGTTTATACTTTGTACAATTTTGAAATAAAGATATCTTGTATTACAGTATATCGTAGTCTGAAATTTTGCGTTACTTTTGCTTGGAGCCTTTGAGTGCTCTTGCACTATTTGAGAGGAAAGAAACCTGGGAACATACTTGTGACTCGGAATCAATAATTGATTTCATATAATATAGTTCTTTTTTTCAGATTATTACCTAATGATCATGTATGTTAACAGTTTGTTCTATAGGGTTACTATTCATTTCTTTACTTGAAAGTTGCTCTTAGTATTTTTAACAGATATGAAGACATTACCAGTAGTATTTTCCCATCATTGTTAATGTGTTGTACCCTTTTCTGTATAGTTTGTTTTTCTGCTTAATGACTGTCTGCATGGATTTAGCCTTTGTAACTACAAGTAGATCACAGAATCATATAATATCTCAACTTGGAAGGGATCCATGAGAATCATCAAGTCCAACTCCCTGCTCCCTGCAGGACTACCAAAAATTAAACCGTGTAACAAGTGTCATCTAGATGCTTCTTGAACTCTGACAGGCTTGGTGCTAAGACTACTTCCCTGGGGAGCCTGTTCCAGTGACCTATAAAGCAATGAAGATGACAATGAAGAAAACTGGATCTTTCCCAGTTACTCAATATAGTATATACGGTAATATAGATGTATGGAGTTTAGGTGGTCATCTAAATTGTGGCAGCTGTTCAAATCAGGAGGATAGTTAGAAATGAAAAACATACAATAGCAGTAGGAATAAATCTGGAGGTCCAGTGCACCTTCTAAATACAGAGAACTTTAGTCTTCTAAAGTACCAATAACTCAAGTGTGTAACACAAGGTAATTTCAGACCTGTGGCACAGACTTTCTTTAACAAGTCTTTTTAAAGTAAGGAATTTCTCAAGGAAAATGTGTGCTTTGTCCACTTGCTATGAGTAGAAAAATTTAATACCTCTGCTAATGTCTCATAATTTAATTACTAGTTCTTTCACCTTTTTAAAAAAAGTCAATTTTTAGAAGGAAAAGCTGTTGAAGTACAGGGGTTTCTTTTAAAATGTTTGGTACTGATCAAATTTGATTCTTCCTGTTAGCGCCATAAAACTTGATGGTAAATCCAGAGTAATCTCAGCCAATGAAAACTTCTGACTTTCTTAATTGTCAGCAAAGAAAGGCTAATAATAGTGGAGGCTCATAAAAAAAATGATACAACATCCTTCAGAGGAGAAAGAAGGCGAAACAGAGGAAAATGAGAAGGTAGCCCAAGAAGGATAAAGATTCAGATATTGAAATTATTTATATACTTAATGAAGTAAACTGTTATTTACTGAGTAGTTTTGTCCTCTGGGTGAATTCCACAGTCTTTACAAGGATCATTAAAATGGGCATTTTTTGATAATGAACCTTCTAGAGAAGTCTGTGACTAGCCCAAGTTCTCTAAGGGTGGATTCAGTCATTTCACAAGGACCTTAATGTTGATGCATCAGCAGGATTCCTGTTCAGCAGAAGCTGGTTGAACTCATGCTTTTCACCAACTCTGTTGATTCAGTGGATTTTTTTACATAGTGTCAAGGGGTTGTATGTTCCTATTCACTTATTTGAAACAGAATTTGTATTTTTGATGTACCACTTCAAATTTTTATAAAAAAAAACAACAAACAAAACTCCTGGTTTTATCCAGTTATTTTGTTGATTAATAGATTTTTAAGAAAGACATGCAATTTTGCTGCTTTTCTCCAAGAAGGTACGATTGCAACTCTGCATTCTAGCTTTGTATTGTCAAGCCACTGTTACCTGTTTAATGATTCTACCGCAGATAATTCTGAGGTAATTCTGAACTCGGGTCAGTAACACTTAAAATATTTTGATTCAAAGAGAGTTTGGAGTATTCTTTTCTCTAATGTGTCTCTCTATTATTATGTCAATTATATATGCATTTCTTTTTTCATCAGTTCTCAACATATCAGTCCTTGAAATGGACATAAATATATTCTGCATGAACCATCCCCCAGAATGGTTCAGGTAGGAGTCTAAGGTTTGCATAAACAATTAAATGTGTCCAGGTTATTTCAAAGCAGGGCCCATTATTTTTCAGCTAATTAAGTCACATACTGCTCTGTGACAAATATCCAGAAGAACAGACCTGTCAGTGCAGTCTTGTTAATTTCTGCCCTGCCTCAGTATGCATATTTTTTGCTTTTATCTATTTTTCAGGGCTTCTGTGTCCATGTGGGATAGTTACCAGTATTTGCAAAATTTGGAGTTGTTTTTCTCAACAGTGTAGTTGAATAAGCTGAAACTTAGTGTGAATATTTATCCTACTACTCTGAAATAATAGATGGTTCTTGAGTGGTTTAAAGAAGCTATGATATCTTGCAAATTAATTTTAATGCAGACTTTTAGTAGATGTTAAGGTATATAAGGCTCTTTAAAGGCTAAGGCTGTAGTTACACTTTATTCTTCTATCAATACCAGGTCCATAATGAAGCTGCATATTCCAGTATTTTGTTTCTACTTTATTGCAAGAAATTAACATCCCCAATGGTTGAGCCTCTTCAGATGCTTTCATGGCTGTTCACTAAACTGCATCTGTGAAAGTTAGACCCTTGGTACTTCCCTAGCCCTTTAAAATAGGTATATTCTTATTAATGGGTGGAAGCGAGTAATCTAATGGGACCGAGGGTGAACGGTGAGTCATGATGATGATGGTGAGAGTAGATTAAAAGAGAGAGTACAACCAGTAACTCCTTCAACTTTGATTGACAAAATACATGTGACCGTGCCTGAAAAGCAGCTACAGTTTGTGTCTCGCTCTTTGATATTCACTGTTACTTGAAAACAAGTGCAGTGGCCATTCTAAATCCATCTTTAACCTTTTCTATGGTGTTTCATAACAATTGTAAATACATGTGTTGGTATTTAGTATCTGTGCAATTACATTTGTTTTTTAATGGTTTTAGTGGTAAGTCACAGAAGGCTGCTGGTTTTTAAATTATAAATCCTAGAGGATAGTGTCTGAAAAGAAAGCAAGTTACTGCCTTTGTGTATTAATATAGTGCTTGATATTTGAATTTGAGATAAGCAAACTGGTCTGCCAAACCATGGCAGGAAGTTCTTGCACATATGTTGTGTTTAGCCTTTACTTTTTTTGTTCTTTTCTTTCAGACACATAACTGTCTGGCATCTTACCACTTGAAAGAACAGTCTCATGTGATGAAGCATCAAAATTGCTGAGCGTACACATTTTTCTAAAGACAGGGTTTGAGAACAGGAAGTTCTTGTAATGTTAATTTAGCTAAAGCTTATATATTGCCTAGCCACATAGTTCTTTGGAAGGTGTCAACAAGTGCTGTAAATTAGTTAGCTGTTAATTTGTGCTAGAGATCCAAAACTGCAAACCTAAGGAAAAGCCAGAATGAGTTACCTTTGCAGTGAAAATTCACAAAAATAAACATGCTTAGACTCATGTATAAATAGTGCTGATACTAGAAACATTTTGATATTGATAATGAATTTTCAGGTTTTTAGCTCAATGCACTTGTCTCTCATATTCTCTTCCTGCTCAGTGTCCAAAAAGTAATTTCCTTTGCATGTCTTAACAATATCTTACACTCTAAACAATTTCATTTTGTTTTGCCCCACATGCATACTTTGGCTGCTGTTTGGAAGGAGACAAATACTGAGAATCTGTAGTCTTTAGTATGCTCAAGTTTCCAGTTTCTCAGTAGACATGTATGAAGAGCTGTATCTATAAAAAGCATAAAGTCAGCAATTGACCTGTCTGCCCTACAAGGTGGTTTTAGAAATGTTAACTTCTAAGAAGAGACAAGTTGTCAAATTGTTGCCATCTTAAAGGACTTCTTTTTAATAATGAGCAAGCAAGACTGATTCTTCAAAGTGAGGAGGAAAAAATAATCAGTAGTCACAAATCTGGCTTGCAAAGAATTATAACTCTGCCTCAACCTTAGGGTAGTTATGTGAATATTTTGGCTTACTTCTCCAACTATGAAATAAGGTGTACTGATTACAAGGACAACTGATATTAGATAATTTTGAGCCATGACAAAAAGGGAGCTTTTATAAAACTTAAAAAAATTACAGGGTAAATGCTCATAAAAAAACTTCTTAGCTATTTGCCAAAAAGAAACATAATCTTAGCATTTGTTTTTGTGAGCTGACTACTAACTGAAGATATTAAAAGTTTGGAATTTAATTCAAACCAGTAGTGTGTCTGATCTAAAGGTTTTAGACGGGAAGAGAGGCTAGATTTGTATTCAGTAATGGCCAGTACTTAGTACTAATGAACACTTTCTAAGTAACTGTTCTTACTAAAACAATGGTCTTAGCAGTATAACATGGGTATGTCAATATGTGAACAATGCTTCAGATACTTTGGCTGTAGCAGTATCAAAATCTGGTTTGTCAAGCAGCAACTATCCAAGAAACTGAACTAAGGGAGTTCAGAGTTGTTTGTTTCTTAAGCATGTTAAAACTCAAGAGCTGTATGCTGAATGGTGTCAGTGACAGGAGAGGTAGCCAGGAGGACACAGTTTTCTTTGACGGCTTATTCTGACCATACCTCAGACTGTTTGATTATAGTCCTTTGGGACAAATGGAGGAAATACAGAGGTATTTATAAAAGTGGGTAAGGCATGAACTTTTTCTTTTGTTTAACAATGAATTACAGAAAAAGTCTAAGTTAAGACTCTATAGCCTGCTTTGCTTTTTTGAAAGCACACTCTGGTAAGTGGACAAGCATTTTGTTTACTTCTTTTCTGTTAAAGTTTATGGAATAGTGCTCATTAGTTTCAAGAATATTGGTTTAGGTCCTTTTGCATATTGAATTACAGGTACTTTTGCATCTTAGGTTTTCATATTTGTTTTATTAGTCTGACTAGTAAT